TATCAAACGCTGTCAGCTAGCAAGCTTTACTCTGCCTCTATAGGAACTCTGAGAGCCTGCTCTCCCAATGAAACATTCTTAGTCAAAAGAGAATGTTCTTCTCCCACCTCAACTCCCTCTCCTTGTCCCCACTCTCTAAATCATTCCAGGGTTCTCAAAAAGCATTTTTCCCAAGATTATTTTGATTATTGTTCCCTCTAGTGCTTTTTCTTGTGAGTCTTTTCCTGTACCCTCTCATTACTCAGGCTTCATTTAAACTTAATTACCTGAAAGAAACCAGGAATCCTGGCTCCCTAGCTGGTTTCATCTGACCTTAAATACAACCAGGCAAGTAGCAAACATAAGTCAATAAATATTTTTAGATGTAATAGGGCCCAGCGAATGTGACTCATGGTTGAGGGTCAACCTATGTATGAACCAGGAGGTCATGGTTCGATCCGGGTCAGGGCACATGACCAGGTTCCAGGCTAGATCCCCAGTGGGGGGCATGCAGGAGTCAGCCGATCAATGATTCTCTGTCATCATTGATGTTTCTCTCTCTCCCCTCCCTTCCTCTCTGAAATCAATAAAAATATATTTTGAAAAGAGTGTAATAGGCCAAAATCATTTCTTTCAAAAGGGGTCTAGCAACTCGCATTCAATCCAGATGACCCACTTTTCCCTGTTCACTACAAATTCAACCCAGATTCTACATCTACACATACTTCTTCACACCAAATAGCGCTGTGTGTGTGTGTCTTTCCTGTCAAATTTTTTATTCTTTTACTCTTTCAACCAACCTTTCTAAGGTAAGAGATAAGTGGGACAAAGAAAACAGGTATACCAATGAATCAGACACGGTCTTATCTATAATAATAAAAGTGTAATATGCTAATTAGACCGGACAGCCGAACGACCTGGACGTCATTCCGGATGAAGCGGCGGGGGCTGAGGCAGAGGTGGTTAGGGGAGATCAGGCAGGCAAGCAGTTAGGGGCGATCAGGCAAACAGGCAGGTAAGCAGTTAGGAGCCAGCAGTCCCAGATTGCGAGAGGGTGCAGGCCAGGCTGAGGGACCCCTATGCCCCCGTGCATGAATTTCGTGCACCAGGCCTCTAGTTAAAGATAATATAGGTCTAAAAAACTATATACTAGGTAATTTCCTAGTATATAGAACACTTTTAGGATTTGTGGTTGTTATCATCATCATCATCTTCATCAAGGGTCATTGTACTCTGTGAGTTTCCAAACTAGTACAGAAGACATATATGCAGAACCATAGATTCAGAGCTAGAGAGATAGTGTGGAAGATCTCAAATACCATTGAAAAGGGCTTCAACCTGTACAAATGAGAGGCCATCATTCATTTTTTTAACATGGGAGTGAAATTATAGAGTAATAATATAAGGAAATTAAACTGGCAACCATTTGAAAGTATAAATAAAGAGGAAAAGATTATTACTGCAGTACAGAGACAGCTTCCCCCTCTGATCCTTTCCTCAAACATCAGAAGGGAAGAAAAAAAAAAAAGGAACACTCATCCAGAATCTGGCTTCTGTCATCCCAGAGGACTAAGTTGGATGCTGCCTTATAAGAAAACAAAAACAAAAGCATTTTAACTGAGTGGTGAGTAGGGTGGGGCCCTATTTATGACACAAGAGGGCAAGCCCCTCCCCTCTGGTAGAAGAGTGGTGATTAACCAGCCTCCTCCTGTTTCTAATCCACATCCACAGGACTTGGGGCCAGCAGTGGTCAGCCCACTTGCCAACTGCCTAAAAAAGACCAGAAATGCCAGGATAAAGGAGTGGAACCCAAAGAGAGGTGTCATCATGAGGAATCAATGAGGCATCTGTAACAAAGGAGGCCTGGTGGGGGCCAGAAGGATGAAGCCTGGGAGAGCAACATCTCCCATGAGGGAATTAACAACAGTGGACCCAGGTTCTAAGTCAGCATCTAGTCCTGACTGGGAACCTGAGCCACACCAGATACCTATCACCCAGCCAGAGCCTGGCCCAGAAAAGACACCCACAGCACAGCCAGCATCTACGACTCAGCAGGGACCCAATACCCAACAGGAGCCTGCTTCCCTGCAAAGACCCCTCACTCAGCAGGAGTCCCTTGCCCAACGTGAAGCTGAATCCCAGCAAGAAACTAGAGCCCAACAAAAATCCGCTTTACAGCAGGAACTCCTTGCCCCACAGGAGCCTTCACCACAGCAATCACCTCCCATCCCAAGGGTGCCCTTCACTCCAGAGGGAGCTGCCTCACAGCAAGGACCTGGGACAGAAAAAGAATCTAGAACTCAACAGGAGCCAGAAGTGGAAGAGGAACACGTGGCTCAGCCAGGACCTGGCCCAGTAGAGCCACCTCTAGCTCAGCAAGAAGCTGGATCAACACCTCCTTCCCAAACTGAACCTATGTCCCAAGAGAAAGCAGGACAGTCAGACCCTAATGGCCAGCAAACAGCCCCAGACAAGTCCCAGCGGGGATCTTTGAGCGAGTGGGGATTTCTATCAAAACTTCACGAACTATCCATACAGCGGCCTGCCTCGGAGTGGAAGACATTTCTTGAGTGGATCACAGATTTTGACTCAGAATCAGATCCGGGGTATCCGTTCGAGATGGACTCATCAGCCACGAAGGATGGAACCATGGCCCAGGGGATGAAGCTGGACCTCAAGGAGAAGCCTGGCGATGAAGAGATGTCAGGCTCTGGTGGAACATCAGCCCAAGAGACGAAAACCAGCAACCAGAACCACAGACACTCCTGGGACACGGGTGAGTTGTGCTTGGAGGAACGGGGTCTCCCAGGGATGGTTATTCATTCATCATGAAGTACTGAGACCCTCCATCCCGGGAGCAAGCCAGTGCCTCTCCCTCCCCTGGTCCCCTCCCCGGGCACGTCACCATTAGCTTCCTCACTCCCAAGCTCCACGCGTCCTTCCTTTACCCTTTAACTTAAAATAGAAGAAGTACCGAGAGCTGCCTCTCTCAGGTCAGCTCAGGTGATCCCTTAAAGGTTCTGTGAAACAAAGATCAACAGCCCCATTTGATAGATGAGGAAGCCGAGGCCTTGAGATGTAAAGGATCTGACACGAGGGGGGCAGTGGGAAGTGGCCCGCCCAGGATTCAAAGCCAACGAGGCTGCCTTCCTTCGAAGGATTTGGGGTAAATCGAAGTGTGAAAAGTTCTGAGCCAGGGGCCAGAACAACAGGGAAGCCTGGTGTATTCATCCATCCCTCCCCAAACCCACTGAAGCGAAATTTGGCAGCAGACGCTGGAGTGTGCTCCAGAGACACAGGCTGAAGGGGGCCCCTTACTAACCTCAGGGAGTGTCCATCCCACTCGGCCCATGTCTGTGCCTTAGCCATCCTTGAGCTGCCCGGTCTTCCCTCCGCAGCAGGACACTTGCTCTCCTCCCAGGCTGGCCCCCCAGAGAAGTCCCAGTCCAGCCAGGCCTGAAGGCCTTATGGGGTGTGTTCTGGAAGGGAGAGCCTAGGAGAGGAGCTGGGGGTCTGCCAAGTCCCAGACAAGGGCGGGGCTAGAGGAAGGCAGAGCTGGGGGGAGTGGGAGGGGGAGTGATGGCTGCCTGCCCTCCCTCCCCTCCTCTGAAGCAGTGCGGGGAGGGGGCGGTCTAGCTCCCATCCCCATTCTCTAGGCTCCAAAGCCCTGCCAGGCAGAAGCAGGCATCAAGTGTTCTCCCGGGAATGAGGGGTTGCTTGTTGAAGTAGCTGGAAGGGGGGAAGCTTGCAGCTCCACTCCAGAAGCCGAGGGCCGGCACCGGCACCGGCACCGCTGACCCAGCCCAGAGGCCTCCCCGCCGAAGGGGCTGGCCCGACCCTCTCAGGGATGAGAAGGTCATTGGTGTCGGTGCCAAGGCTGGCGGTAGGCCTGGCGGGAGGAGGGGGAGGGGACGGAGGGGTGGATGGAAAGAGAGGGAGAGAGGGTGCCAGGCGTTTTTCCGGTGCTGAGGGTGAAGGGTTGTGTCTCTAGGCCCCCAAACCGCCGGAGCGACCAGGCCGCCGCTCCTGAAGCGCCCAAGCGCCGTTGAACGTGTGCGCATGCGCGAGCCTCGAGCCTCCACCGTTTCCCGCCTTTTCCCGGGCGCGCGCCTCTCCCTGCCCCTGGCCAGCGTCTTGGGGCTACTACGCAGGCGCCTAGTATTCTCCTTGCCTCTCCCTGTCATTCTTGAGGGAGAAGGTAGAGAAAGGAACCGCGAGAAACCGAGCAATGAGAGAACTAGCAGACAGGGGGCGGGGAGAAGGGCTTCCTCCTCCAATGGCTCGCAGGCAGAGCCCGCCTCCAGCGCTGGCGCCCGCCCCGACTTTGAATCGCCCGAGGACCTGGCCCGCCCCCTGTCCTCAAGGGGAGGCTCCGTGGCGCCTCGCTCTCCCCGCCAGCGTGCGGGCCGGGTGGCGTTCTAAGGGATCCCCACATGGGAAGGTGAGTGGGCGGACAAGGCTGAGAACCAGCATGTGATCCGACCGAGGCTTCCGCGCTAGGGAGAAACCGTGCGACTCCCCACTAGTCCCGACTGAAGAAGGACGCTCTGCGCCGCCTCCAGGGCTGCATTTTTTGTCGGTCGCGGGTCCTTGATGCGTATGAGGGGGCGGGGCCAGTCCTTAGGTCCCGGCAGCTGGGGGCGGGGCCCGGCGGTGGGGTGAGGCCGGGATAGTCCAGGGGGCGGGACCCCGAGCGGAGCAAGGCCAGGATTGGGTGGTATGGGGGCCCGGCGGTGTTGTGTTAACAGGATTGGCACTCGGGGCGGGGCGTGGGGCTTGGAATTGGTCCCCGTGGGGAACTGAGGAGAATTGATGGAGTCAGCCGGGAAAGAGGGACCCGCCGGGGCCCCTGGGGACCGGGCCTCGAAGAAAGACAAAGAGAGATCCAAGAGGCAAAGCCGCCGGCGATGGCGAAAAATCAAGGCCAAAGGTGAGCACGCGGGGGCCGGCAACAGCCCGGAAGGAACCTTGGACATCCTGCGGGGCACTGGGGACTGAGTGGACTGACCCACCGGCTCGAGAAGTAGGGGAGTCCATGGACTGGCCCATTGCCGCTCTGCGGGGGAACGCGGCGATGCTGGGAGCGGACTGTACCCCCAGCGTAGAGACTGCCGGACGCTCCGCTGCTGTCATGGGAGGAGAGTCCTGAATGCGAGTCTTCTGGGCCAGAGTTCCCGCTCTGGCTCCGCACTCGCTGTGTGGCCGTGGGCAACTCCTGCCCTCAGTGTTTCCCACCTGGGAAATGGTCGGAGCGCCCGGTTCTCAGGTCTCGGGCACTCCTGAGAGGATAGTAAGGAAGAAGTTTATAAGCTGTTGCCCAAAGAGGAAGTTGAAGAGTGAGTCAGAGAAAGGTAGGAGGAAAGGTGCCCCAGAGAGGGCAATGCCAGACCGGTACTCCCAGCCTTCATTCAGCCCCTCCATTTCTTGTCAGGTCACCTGCTTGCTTCAGCCCCCGTTCCCTGGGGCCTGACTTCCGGGACCCCACTCCTTCTAGGACGAGGGGTTCCTGGGTTGGTTTCTGACTGCCACGCTCTCCCTCAGGAGAAGGGAGGTCTGTCGCCCGGGTTCCTAGGGTGCCACATTACTAACTGAAAGGCAGTCCAACGGAGATGGGCAGGGGCTGGCAGTAATTCCTTGCTCAGTTTTGAATATTTGTCAATCCAAATGAGGGCCTGTGGAAAGTTCTTGTGCAGACAAGAAACTGGCTTAGCCCCTGGGCCCCAGAGACCCCAAACTCTGCATTGCACATCCCTGTCAAGAATAGAACTGGAATTGGCTCCAGCTGCACATGCAGGCTCAGACAGGCTCAGACTGTTGCCCGAGGGCATTGACTGTCACATAGCAAAACAGCATCACAAGCAGGACAGAGTGCCCAGAGGCAGTCAGTACAGACCTTGGTTAAGTACATGGGCACTGGAGACCTGGTTCTTCAGGCTATAACCTGTGGTACACTGGGCAACAGGCTCCTTCCTTCCCTGCCTCAACTTTTTGAGTGATAAAATGGATATGATAAGAGTGCCTGACTTGTAGGGCTGTTGTGAGGTTTGAATGAATACAGTTACCCCCCATTAGACAGCAGGCTCCCTAAGAGTGGGGTTGTGTCTGCCTTGTTTACCCTGCATTTCCAGAGCCTGCTATGCCAGGCACATAGACACTTAAATATTTATTGAATTAATAAGTAAAGGAATGCGTGAACTGTAACACTGGGACAATAATCATCGTGTTGCACTTGGGATTGTCATGAGGAGTCAGAATCCTCTTGGGCAGGACTTCCTGCTCAGGGCTGAGCCAGTCCTCACAAATCCATGGGCCCGCCTACTCACCAAGGTTCATTCCCCCAAGCTCTGAGATTTGCCTCTCATTTCCTGAGGTCCTGCCCTGGTGCCAGGTCTCAGTTGGGTGAATCATTTCCCCACCCCTTGCCCCAAGGGCATCCAGGCTGGCTGGTGCAGTCCTAGTCATCAATTTGATCTTGCCAGTAACCTGATGACAATAGTGTCATTATGATCACCTTATTTCCCAAATGATGACACTGAGACTCTGAGGGAACAAGGTCACCTGGGTTTTCTTACCTGGCCAGTGAGGGCAAAGAGATAGCTGCCCCCAGCCTCCTGAGGGCAGGGAGTGTGTGAGCTCAAAATTGCTGTGTGTCCCAACCTTAATTCACACAAATTTGTTCATCAGACATTCACTGAACACTTATTTAGGCCAGGGCTGGGCTCTTGGTGGCAAGGACAGACACATTGGAGCTGTAGATGCAGACATTAATCAAATAATCTCACAAACCAGATATAATTATAAACTACGATGTATACAAGAGGGAAATTCCTGAGATAATGTAAGAGGAAGGCTTCCCAAGAAGGTGGCTTTGGACCCATGGATGGCTGCTTGGGCAAGGGGGGCAGGGAGGACAGAGGGGACAGAATGGGCAGAAACCCTGAGGCCCAAGAAAGCAGCACATTACAGCACAGAGGTCGCTCATCGAGGGAGGGGAAGAAGAAAGGCTGGGCGGACATGGGTCCCAGAGGGTCTCTAATTTAGGAGACCATGTCCAAGATGTGGGGCTTTTTCCTGAGAGGAGGGGTTGGGCTATTGAGAGTTGGGAGTGTGTTTTAGAAAGAGCCTCTTGCTGCTATGTGGAGCAAAGATTGAAAGGGGCAAAATCAGAGACTGTAATGAGTTACAGTTATCCAGATATGGGAGCAGGGGGGTGGGAAAAGGATCGGGTTCCAGAGGTTTCTAGGGGGCAGAGTGGACAGGACTTCATGATGGATTAGATGGGGAGAGGAGATGGCCAGGATGATTCCCTGGGTTCTGGCTTGAGCAAATGGGGAGTGATGCTTACACCACACACACACACACGGATATGCACAAATATCTATATATATCCATACTCATACATACACATGCCCACACAGTCTCTCTCACAGGCTGAGAAAAACACACGCAGACTGTGACACATGCATAAAAACATGCCTTCAAATATGCCAAGAAACAAAAACGCACAGATTGAGAAAAAATGTCAACACACCCACCCACAAATATAATGGAGAAGAAAGGCTGGGCGGACATGGGTCCCAGAGGGTCTCTAATTTAGGAGACCATGTCCAAGATGTGGGGCTTTTTCCTGAGAGGAGGGGTTGGGCTATTGAGAGTTGGGAGTGTGTTTTAGAAAGAGCCTCTTGCTGCTATGTGGAGCAAAGATTGAAAGGGGCAAAATCAGAGACTGTAATGAGTTACAGTTATCCAGATATGGGAGCAGGGGGGTGGGAAAAGGATCGGGTTCCAGAGGTTTCTAGGGGGCAGAGTGGACAGGACTTCATGATGGATTAGATGGGGAGAGGAGATGGCCAGGATGATTCCCTGGGTTCTGGCTTGAGCAAATGGGGAGTGATGCTTACACCACACACACACACACAGATATGCACAAATATCTATATATATCCATACTCATACATACACATGCCCACACAGTCTCTCTCACAGGCTGAGAAAAACACACGCAGACTGTGACACATGCATAAAAACATGCCTTCAAATATGCCAAGAAACAAAACGCACAGATTGAGAAAAAATGTCAACACACCCACCCACAAACACATATAATGGCCATGACCCGAACCTATGTATGTACATACATACATGTGAACCTCAGACACACTCACGCCTGACCACCCAGAAAGCACACAGCTGAGACATGACAGAGAAAAGGACAACACTCAGATCCACCATCCTTGCTGGTTCTGTGACCTTGGGCAGCACGTCACCTCTCTGGGTCTGGTTTCTCATCTGCCAAAAGGGGTGATAATAGTCCTTACCTCATGCATCCTGGGGAGGATAAATGAGTTACTTCACATAAAGCACATAAAGAGATCAGTGCCTGGCACACTACAGTCAGTCCTTAGAGTACAGTTTGCTCTGGTGGGAACACTCGGGGAACTGGCTACACTCACTGGCCCCCCTTCTTCACCTGTACCCAGGCATCTCCCGTGCAGAAGCCCTTACTCTTCCCAGGCCCCAGACCTCGCCCTTCCTCCATCCTCCCCCCAACTTCTTTCCCCCATTGCCCTGCTCAGTCCCCAGGGGCCAAAATCCAGGCCTGATTCAGCTGCCCAGTGGCTCTCTAGGGCAAAGGGCTGGTGCCCAGACAACGGGACCCTTCAGCCCTACCTCTGTCCCAGTCCTCGCCCATGGCCCTGGTGGGCCTGCCCCTGCCCCAGTGCCCTCTGCCTGGGATTCTTGGCGAGTTTCTGGCAATCTCAACATCCCTTCCTGCCAGCTCCACCCAGCCTAGCCCCCAGGGAGCTGCCTAGACCAGGGCGAAGGGCAGAGCCCTAGAATCATGAAGGCCTATTCCCCAATGCTTTGTGCAAGTCACTGTTCTGTCCAGTCTCCTCTGTCCTCATCTTCAATAAAGAGCCCTACCGCATGGAGGGCAGTAAATAACAGTGGTTTATAAAGTGGGAAACCACAGTCTATTAGGCAATAAATACCACATGCTGGCCATGCTCCAGGCACTGTGCAAGGGGTTCAGGTACAGCAATAAAACAAAGTCCCTGCCATCAGGGAGCCTATAAACTGATGAGGGAGACAAAAAGCAAACACATAAATAGTCAATTGATTAGTATGCTAGCATTTGGTACCACAGAGGAAAATGACCCAGTACACACCTTGGTGAGGCCACGTGTGAACCACCAAACAGACAGCTGTAGAAAAGGCTGCCCAGGGGCAGGCAGGATGGCCAAGTGCAGTTTCCAGATGAGGAAACCAGGCTCATCCAGGATCACCTGGTGAGTGGTTTGGGCCAGTGTTCCATTGTCACAGCCACCAAGCTTAGAGTTGCCTCCAGAGGCCTCTGTCTGTCCATCTTTTGTCTGCCCTGGGGAGGGGTGGTCATCTCCCAAACTCCCATCCAGCCCCTTCTCCATTCCACTGTGACTCTTCGGGCTTTTCTTCCTTCTTCAAATATTTGCTGGGCACCTACTATGTGTTAGGCCCCCTGATGGGCCTGCCCTCATGGGGATGGGTATTTAAGGGGGAGAGACAGGATTCACCTCCAGCCAAGCAAATGACACTGAGACTTCAGGGCCTCATTTGCACTATTCCCTTCCAAGATCCTGTAACTGATTTTGTATTTGTGATTTTATATTCCTTTTCCTAAATAGCCCCACTTCCACACATGGAAGCTTCATAGTTCTTATAAGCTTCACGGCTCTAAATCCCGGTTCTGCCCCTGGGGAGAGACAAATAATACACATGTAAACAAACAAATGTATAATTGCAAATGTGTAAGGTTCTAGGAAGAACAATTTAAGTATGTTGGCAGAAAATAGTGCTGGGTGGCATATCTCCTTTAGAGATGAGCAGTTAGGGAATGCTTCTTCAAGGAGATGACAAGCTCTTTCTTGAAGGGCAAGAAAGAAAGAGCTGGCCAGGCAAGGAGCATGTGTCCCTCAGCCTTGCTTTCCCCACATGTGAGGTAGACAGCACAGTCACAGCAGGATGTGCTGTGAAGGCTAATTGGCAGGTACACGATGCCAGTGTGAGAACACCACACAATAGGACCTGTGGCTCAGGCCCCTAGCTGGGCTTGGAAATACCTATAATCTGCTTTTGTCCTCCCTGGAGGGTCAGGCAGGGCTGGCTACCCTCTCTTTCCCCAGCAGCTGGGGCTGGCTCTGCCAGGGCCAGCCTGGGGGGATGGGAGTGGCAGGAGCTGAGATCATGGGGCCTTTGCTCCCTGAATCCACCCTGGAGAGGGAGGGCAGCCTGGCTGGGTGAGAGGGGACAGTTTGTTCAGGACTAGGGCTAAGACAACTGGGTCCAAAGGGGACTGGGGGCCTGGATTCCTGGTCTGAGGGCGGAGAGAGCTAGGGGCCTAGACTCCTGGGTCTGAAGGAGGAGGGGGGCTGGGTACTCCTAGAGGTTCTAAAGCAGAATTAAACTGGAGCTGGGAGCTGACAGGGGGGCAGGGAGTTGGGCTCCATGCTCTGTTTACAGCACGTGGTTCTCACTGTCCCTTGTGGGTTGGGAGGTGGATCGGTGGCCACACCCTGGGCAGGCTGGGCCCCTCCCCGGGTTTATCGCCCCAGGCTGCTACTGGCACAAGCCACAGTCCCACAGTCCAGCAGTCCTAGTCTCGGAGAAGCTCTGAAGAGGCCTAGAAGGGTGAGTGCACAGCCAGCTGAGAGAGAAATGGCCACTGGCAAACCCGAGGGCCTGGAAGGGAGAGGAGACACCTGGGAGGAGCAGGGGGCCATCAGCCCAGGAGCCAGGCAAGGTGCTGGGTGGGCTGCAGGAGGGAAGAGTCTCTGGAGTAGAGGGCATCCCCATCAAGGGGGACCCTCAATTGTGAGGAGGGTCAGTTTCTGCGGGCCAGAGCGAGAGGCCCAGCCTCCAGAGCACCGGGAGGGAGACATGGCTCTGGATCTGGGTTTGAATTCTGCTCCACCCCTTTTATGTATGTCTGTTTTTTGTTTGGTTGGTTGGGTTTTGTTTGTTTATTAGAAAGAAAGGAAGGGAGAGATAGAAATTCGATTTGTTGCTCACTTATTTATGCATTCATTGGTTGCTTCTTGTGTGTGCCCTGACCGGGGAATCGAACCTGCAATCGTGGCATATCGGGATGATGCTCTAAACCAGTGGTCGGCAAACTGCGGCTCGCGAGCCACATGCAGCTCTTTGGCCCCTTGAGTGTAGCTCTTTCACAAAATACCGACTTCTGCGCATGGGCCACGAAGTTTCAATCGCACTGTACGTGCGCACCCGCACGTGGTATTTTGTGGAAGAGCCACACTCAAGGGGCCAAAGAGCCGCATGTGGCTCGCAAGCCGCAGTTTGCCGACCACTGCTCTAAACCAACTGAGCTATCTGGCCAGGGTGCTCCACCATTTTTTTTTTCGTGTTAAAGACTGCTTTATTGGTTGCAGTTAGTACAAGTCAATAAATATTGATCCCTAAAGGAAAACTCAGTTATTTCTCAGCTTACTGAATGAAATTGAACCACCTGATTGCTGGGAGGATAACTAAAGTCAACGCCGCTTCTTGGGAAGTGAAGCCATAGCCAGCTGATATATGGCATAAGTTGTTCTGTAAGAATCATGGTAGCTCTATACAGGAAGGCATCAGCTACCCCATCCTTTAGATGCACTGGAATTCCATTGTCCTCCTGATATAGCTTTTGTTTCTCTGGAACTTTATTTTCAAACTGCCTGCGTGAAGCAGTTCTTATGGTCCTCTAAGTGCCCTTGACTGAGAATTGAACCCTGGACCCTCAGTCCACAAGCCAACACTCAAACCACTAAGTAAAACCGGCCAGGGATCTACCATTTTTTTTTAAATATATTTTTATTGGTTTCAGAGAGGAAGAGAGAGGAACATCAATGATGAGAGTGAATCATTGATTGGCTGCCTCCTGCACGCCCCCTACTGGGGATTGAGCCCGCAACTGGGACATGTGCCCTTGACCGGAATTGAACCCGGGACCCTTCAGTCTGCAGGCCGATGCTCTATCCATTGAGTCAAACCAGCTGGGGCTCTATCATTTTTAATGCAACCTTCAGCTCCTTAACACCTCTGAGCCTCAGTTTCCTCTCCTGTATAATGGGATGCTACCACTAATAGCTGAAACGTAAACTGAGGCTGTCTGTGTCTCAGAGAGTTAACAAGAGCAAATGAACAAAAACACACACAATGCTCTTAACACAGGATCTGGCACAGAGTGAACTCAAGGTCAATGATAGCGATGAGTGTGAGTACTATTATTCCAGGCAGAAGAGCAGAGCAGGCCCATTCAATCTAAGCGGAGTGGACAGGCCCAAAGGCCAGAGCGTCCAAGCTGGGAGAGGAGTGAGATGGAGTTTTGGAACTGCACAGAGGAACAGGAAGGGAGCTGGAGTTTGGAGGGGGTTCCACAGCCAGACTTAAGGGGCCAGGAAGGGGCAAGAATGACTCTTCAGTTTTAAGTAAGGCTAGAATGCTGAACTCCTTGGTTCAGGAAGAGAATTGGGCTTGGGACCAGAGTCCTGGAACACCACCAGGTGAATGGGAATGGGTGGGCTGAGAGAGAAACTCTCCAAAATACTGGTGGAGGGAAAGAGCCTGTGGGCAATGCCTTGGGCCTGAGGAGGTAGGACGAGGGCCTAAAATCTGGGTCCTGAGAGAGGACCAGCTGGAGTCCAGACAACCTAGAAGGAGTCCTGGGCCAAGAACAGTAAATGGAGACAGATGCCTGAACTCTTAGGTCCTTGAAAGAAAAAAAGGGGTAGGAAGGCTCTAGGGTGTAGGAGATACTGGAGCAAAGGAACCAATAGGAGAGAGCAGGGACACCTGAGGAAGGACTGGCTGAGGGTCTGCACTCCTGGCTTCTGAGGAGGAAAAGATCTGGGTACCTAGGCTCCACTGTTGGGCCTAAAGGAGGAGGTTGGATTCTGATGTGTGAATCTGAGGGAGGAAGGGGATAGATAGAGCCTGGACTCCTGGAACCCAGGGCCCAGCTGAGCAAGGTGTGATCCAACCCTGCTTAATGAGCCTCTCCACTGCCCCCAGCCTTGCAGCTCATACACAACATGGACTTACGCACGATGACACAGTCGCTGGTGACTCTGGCGGAGGACAACATGGCCTTCTTCTCCAGCCAGGGCCCTGGGGAAACAGCACGGCGGCTGTCAAGTGTCTTTGCAGGTGTTCGGGAGCAGGCGCTGGGGCTGGAGCCAGCCCTGGGCCGCCTGCTGGGTGTGGCACACCTCTTTGACCTGGATGCAGAAACACCGGCCAATGGGTACCGCAGCCTGGTGCACACAGCCCGCTGCTGCATGGCGCACCTGCTGCACAAATCACGCTACGTGGCCTCCAACCGCCGCAGCATCTTCTTCCGTACCAGCCACAACCTGGCTGAACTCGAGGCCTACCTGGCCGCCCTCACCCAGCTCCGAGCTCTGACCTACTACGCCCAGCGCCTGCTGGCCACCAACCGGCCAGGGGGACTCTTCTTCGAGGGCGACGAAGGACTCACCACAGACTTCCTGCGCGAGTATGTCACCCTGCACAAGGGCTGTTTCTACGGCCGCTGCCTGGGCTTCCAGGTGAGCCCCCTGCCCTACCCTGGACCCACAGTGAAGGCATCTGGTGGCCCCTCATCTGGCCCAATAGTGTAGAATAACCACAGGGGTCATGGGTTCAGAAAACTGCGGAAACAGAAAGGGAAGCTGTCTGGGCCTAGACAGAGCTACACCAGGACCTCAAACATGTGGCCCCCAGGCTGCATCCACCATGTCGCAAGAAATCTTTCATTTGCATAGCTTTTGCACCAGGTTCCCCACTGTTCTCCATGGTCCTATACTCAGGAGATCCATTCACTCTTTTATATTACCTCTTTGGCCCCCGAGATCATTTGAGACCCCCAAGAGGATAGTCAGTATTGTTCTCAAAGGCCCATTTGTAAGTGCATCACTGGATGCCTGGAAGGGAGGAGGAGGGGTGTGAGCCCCATTTTACAGAGGTTCAACTGTACCCAGGTCTGCCTGGACTTTTGGACTCACCTAAGGAGCTGTAAAATCGGGATTTTCAGGCTTAGGGTAGGGCCAAGGAGCAGATCTAAGTTGGTGACAGGAAAACCTGGTCTCAACCCCTCTCCTCCCTGAACTAGGACCTTGACTTCTGCCCGCTGCAGGCCTTCTACCCTCTGCTCACCCCAAACCACTCTCAGGGAGACACAGCTCATCTCAGCACTAAGAGGGAGGCAACAAGGAGGCCTTCCAATTCATAGGAAAAGTAGTTTGTGGACTCAGAGAATCGGGGGACCCTTGGGGCACCAGGCTCAGAGCAGAGACCCAATTGCCCCTCGCTGGGGTCAGTGCCAGATCCCCTAGTCCCCCAGCCACATCAGGGAACCTCACCAGGAGTATCTATAGTCCCTTTCAGACCCTCTCATGGCCTCCCCCCACTTAGATGATAGCTGAGGTTAGCAGCTTCTCAGCCTCTGTCCCACCCACCATTCCCCATTTCCCTGTGGGGCAGCCCGTCTTCAGTGACCCAGCCTGGGTGTTCCTGGAAACTCCCCCTCACCTAAGCTGAACCCACAAATATTGATCAGCCCAGCTGGGCCAGCCAGCTCCTCCCTATGTACTGGCCATGACCTTCAAGTCACGGGAGAGAGATCCTAGGGCCACTTGAGCCAGCAACCAGCCACAGTGGCCAGGCACCCCTGTGCTCTCTGGCCTACTGGGCCCCCGGCCAGGGGGAGGGCCAAGCCTGGCAGCTACTCTGACGGCCCAACTGTTGCAGGACAGCCTCCCCCTGTAAAATGTCAGCCCCAAGAGAGCAGAGGTCTCCCTTGTCTGGGTCTTGCTCAGCCCCTGCTCCAGCCCAGTGCCTAGCGCTCAGTATTTGCTGAATGAACAGAAGAACCCTGCTGGCCCTGTGCCCAACTCCTGTGGCTTTTTTCCCTCTGATCTTGTCTCCCCATCCTCTGTCTTCCCTAAGCTGCCTGGCTTCTCTCTCAGGTACTGTCTCCCCTTTGGCTGTCTTTCTGCCTCAAGATCTCTGGCCCTATCTTTGACCATCTCCCATCTGTCTTCCTGTTGACCTGTAACTAATCCCCATTGCTGTCCACACCTCATCTCTGTCCTCGCTGACTTTCAGGAAATCCCTACATCACCTTACTCCCAGCTCACAATTCTCCAGTGATTCCACCCCACATCTGGAATAAATCTAAATTTCTCAGGCCCTATGTGAACCCACTTTGCTTCTCTGACCTCACCCTGGCCCTCCCCACCCCCAGTCACCCTGCTCCAGCCACAATGGCCCCAGGTTTCCTTATCCACGCTGAGCAAGGCCCGCCTCAAAGCCTTTGCACTCTCCGTGCTCTCTGCAAGGAACAGCCTTCCCTCACTTCATTTGGGTCCCTCCTCAAGTCCCCTCCTGGAGACCATCTAAGTAGCCTAACCCCTAGTCATCATTCTATGTCCCCTCCACCTATTGTCTTTAAAAGCATTAGTCATTACTTGACTTTATATGGCATGTGCCTAGAGCAGTGCCTGGCACACAGTAGGAGCTCAGTAAATGTTTGTTGAATGACTGTCTGCCCCTCACTCCTGCCTGCCCTAGTCCCTCTCCTGGGCAGTGGGTGACAGCAACATCTCTCCACAGTTCACGCCCGCCATCAGGCCATTCCTGCAAACCCTCTCCATCGGGCTGGTGTCCTTTGGGGAGCACTACAAACGCAACGAAACCGGCCTCAGTGAGTCCTGGCCAGCCGGGCCCTGCCTGCACCACCCCTGCCCTCCCGTCCCCCTCCCTGTCCCTGCCCCTACAGCCTGACCTGCCTGGGCCTCCTGACACCCTCCCGACCCCCAGGTGTGGCCGCCAGCTCCCTCTTCACCGGTGGCCGCTTTGCTATCGACCCAGAGCTGCGTGGGGCTGAGTTTGAGCGAATCACTCAGAACCTGGACGTGCATTTCTGGAAAGCCTTTTGGAATATCACTGAGATCGAGGTGCTATCGGTGAGCATGGGGCCTGATAGGGCCCTAACCTGTTACAAAAAGGGGACACAGGGGCCCAGAGACCACATCAGGTCTCTGCAGGGCTCCAGGCCCAGGGATGGCACATAAGGGAATAACTGGGGGCTCAAGCTGCCCATCCCCAGTGCCCTTTCTGTTTCCTCCCACCAGTCTCTAGCAAACATGGCATCAGCCACCGTGAGGGTAAGCCGCCTGCTCAGCCTGCCACCGGAGGCCTTTGAAATGCCACTGACCACTGACCCCAAACTTACAGTCACCATCCCACCCCCCTTGGCCCACATGGGCCCTGCACCAGTCCTCGTCAGGCTCATCTCCTATGACCTTCGTGAAGGACAGGTAGGGCCCCTGCCTCAGCCAGGAACAGGTACAGAGCAAGGGGCACCCTCACCCAGGTGCCCTTCTTTTTTCCCTCCATGCTGTCTCAACTCTCAGTGCTCACACCTGCTCCCCTCCTGTCTCTCTGAGTACATCCCCTTGGTGGGGGGAGGCCTAGGCAGACTGCCCCAGCTTCACCCTCCTCCTCCTCCCTCACCCCCAGGACAGTGAGGAGCTCAGCAGCCTGGTGAAGTCTGAGGGTCCTCGGACCCTGGAGCTTTGGCCACGCCCACAGCAGGCACCCCGCTCTCGGTACCTGGTCGTGCATATCCATGGTGGTGGCTTTGTGGCCCAGACTTCCAAGTCCCACGAGCCCTACCTCAAGACCTGGGCCCAGGAGCTGGGCGTCCCCATCCTCTCCATCGACTACTCCCTGGCCCCAGAGGCCCCCTTCCCCCGCGCGCTGGAGGAGTGCTTCTACGCCTACTGCTGGGCCATCAAGAACTGCGCCCTGCTCGGTGAGCCCAGCCCTCACTGCCACCCACTCTGTTCCTGCCCCAGCCCACACTGCAGGGGAGTGAGCCATCTTGTTTCTCAAGCCTCAATCTTTACCCCCTGCCTCCCCTTCCATCTCTGCCACCTGGCCGCCCGCCACTGCCCACTCCTCCATCTCTGCCTCAGCGCTTTCCCATTGCCCCACTGCTCACCCAACTTTCCATCAACCACTTCCTCCTCCCCACTCCAGCCCTGACACTCCATCCCCCCAGCTCCCCCGTGGTTATCTCCTCCGACCTTTTCTTTCCTGTTTCCCCATGTCTCCAGCCCATTGTTCCAGCTCCTCTGACATTCCACTTCCGACATTTTGGGAGGCACAGAGCAGGATGGGACTGTGCCCATGCCACAGAGCCCATGGCCCCTTGTCAGCCTGAACCCTGGCTTCCATTTCCTGGCCTCAGATGCCCCTCCCTCCCTCTCCTCTCACTCCCACCCACACCTTGCTTCCAGCCTCCCAAGCTTCCTCACAGCCTCCTGATCTCCAGGCCTCTCCATGTCCTGAGTCAGCCTGATTCTCTGGTCACTATCCTCCAAATAGGTCCAAATCTCTGCCTCTGTTTACCAGTCTCTGACCTTAGGGTTGCACAGCCCCGCTCTGAGAGCCCAATGCTCCTGGACCAGAGCTGTATTCCTCCCTGCCAGGCTTGACCAAGCCCCTCTCCAAACCAGGCTCAACAGGCGAGCGGATATGCCTCGCAGGGGACAGTGCAGGCGGGAACCTCTGCTTCACCGTCTCCCTTCGGGCAGCAGCCTACGGGGTGCGGGTGCCAGACGGCATCATGGCAGCCTATCCAGCCACAATGCTGCAGCCCACCGCCTCTCCCTCCCGCCTTCTGAGCCTCATGGACCCCCTGCTGCCCCTCAGCGTGCTTTCCAAGTGTGTCAGTGCCTATGCTGGTAAGGCCCAGCGCTGGGACCTGGGGGTCAGGATGCCCAGGGCCTACAGGGGCAGGGGCTAGAGCCCGGTCTCCTGGGTCTGAGGAGGGGCTGAGGACAAAAATCTAAGACTCCTACTGAAGCCATCAGCTATTCCTGTGTTCCCGGGGGCATAGATTCCTGAAGCTCTGGGGTTGAGACTGGGTCCAGAAAGAGAAGAGACCAACCCAGCCCCCACATACACTCCGCAGGTGGGGAGACAGAGGACCCCTCCAACTCAGACCAGAAGGCACTGGGCATGATGGGGCTGGTTCAGCGGGACACAGCCTTGCTCTTCCGGGACCTCCGCCTGGGAGCTTCCTCGTGGCTCAACTCCTTCCTGGAGCTGAGTGGGCGCAAGTCCCCCCGAGACTCAGTGCCCATAGCAGGTAAATGAAGCCCTCCCCACACACCCATCCAGCATGCCCAGGAGGGACAGCCTGGCACACCACAAGATCTGAGGGTGGAAGAGGCTGTGCCCTGAGGCCCTCAGGAAGCAGAGATCACCTTCCTGGTTCTGCCCTGTATCTGTCCTGGTCCCTACCACAAAGCCTTGATTTTCCACAACAGTCCACAGCCTGGGAATTCAAGGATTTCTGGCCCCAGGTCATCTCAGTCCCAGGAACTATATGGTTTAACTTTCCAAACAGCCTTTCCCAGAAAGGGCCCTCAGTAAATGCTCAGAAGGCATGTCCCAGGAGGGCCCTCAGGTGGAGGTCAGCCCTCTTAGATTCTTTCCAGACTTTAAACAGAGGCACGTGGGGGCAATATCCCTGCTGCAGAAGCTAACCTGGGAGGCTAGGGCAGGGAGATCAGCAAACTGGATGGACCTCGGGAAGAGGAGGAGATTCCCAGCCTTGGGTGGGTGGCAGGACACTCAGGCAGCCCAAAGTCACTTCCATCCAGGAATCCATTTTGTCTCACCTTTAACATGTTAAGGATTTTAAAGCATAACCAACTCAACTTATTTTCTATCTCTCATAAATCAACTATTTTCTGGGTAATAGGAATGCATATCAAAAGTATATGAATACTCAGAAAATTATTCCAGTTAGTTGTTTTATTTTAAATTAAGTTTTGGTTTTTAGGATAGTCAAATGGATGCAAATAAATATACACAAAACCAAAAGGGATTTGCATTTTAGGCACATGGACCATTGAGCACTGGAGTTTTTCTTATAGGATAAAGGTAACAGGTACAGCCCCTAGAGCCCCCTGCAGACACCACCAGTCTAACTCCCTACTATACCAGGTACTTGCTGGGTGATGTGAGCCTTGCTTTGTTCCTTGTGAAATGACTACAGTAGAAGTGCCTGCCTCATAAGGACTGCATGCACCATTCATTCCAAGCACCCAGCAAAATACCTACTGGTACACAGTAGGTGCTCTTAGAGCAGCGGTTCTCAACCTGTGGGTCGAGACCCCTTTGGGGGTCAAACGACCCTTTCACAGGGGTCGCCTAAGACCATCGGAAAACACATATATAATTACATATTGTTTTTGTGATTAATCACTATGCTTTAATTATGTTCAATTTGTAACAATGAAAATACATCCTGCATATCAGATATTTACATTACGATTCATAACAGTAGCAAAATTACAGTTATGAAGTAGCAACAAAAATAATTTTATGGTTGGGGGTCACCACAACATGAGGAACTGTATTAAAGGGTCGCAGCATTAGGAAGGTTGAGAACCACTGTCTTAGAGGATGCAAGCACCCCTGACTAGCTGGACTCTATGACTCTAGTCAATAGTTCTGTTCCAGTGACCCTTGGGTCACAGAGCACTTAATGCAGTTATTTTTATATCTTGCATTTTGCCTCCATGGATTTATAAAGACTGAAAAATATAGGTCTTGGCCCTAGTGATAAATAGCATCCTGGGTCTGATAAAATTAAGGGACCTGAGGCCAAGGTGGGCACACAAGATAGGCCAGGGGCACATCTGTAGTATCATTTGGGTACTTGTTGCATGGTCACTCAAAGGCAAGGGATAAAACTGAAGAACATAATGGACATTTTGGCAGTAGATCTATGTGGCTACAGGTGTGGGATCCCTGGGAATCTAATATGCCCCAAGACTCTTTTTTTTTAAAAATATATTTTATTGATTTTTTACAGAGAGGAAGGGAGAGGGATAGAGAGTTAGAAACATCGATGAGAGAGAAACATCGGATCAGCTGCCTCCTGCACACTCCCCACTGGGTATGTGCCTGCAACCAAGGTACATGCCCTTGGCCAGAATCAAACCTGGGACCCTTGAGTCCACAGGCCAACGCTCTATCCACTGAGCCAAACCGGTTAGGGCCCAAGACTCTTTTTAGCTCCCTCTTTAGCCTCCTTTAAAGCCATGTGGACCTGCGGGCCTTATTCCACTTTGCTCCATTCATACCCTCAGTGTCAAACAGCCATAAAAAGACTGCTGGGCCAGGAGGCTGCTGGAACAGGGTGTCAGGCCTGGTAATAAAACAGGACTTAATCCAATATCTTATCCCACTGAATCCTCAGCACCTCCTATGAGGTAAAGATTATTTTTATCCACTTTGTACAAATGAAACTGAAACTCCCGGAGGTAAAGGTGAGGTAAAGATTATTTTTATCCACTTTGTACAAATGAGGAAACTGAAACTCCCAGAGGTAAAGTGACTTGCTCTTAACCTTCCCAGTCACCACACACACACACCCCTCCACTAGAACAAGGCTCCACTTCCAGGACCACACAACTCTTTCTGCCTCTCCCTTGAAGTTGCAGCCTGGGCACCTGAGTTCCCACTCCCCACCCCAAGGAGGGTGTTTGGGGGAACACTCCAGGTCTCCACAGCCCTAGGATGCAACTGCTCCTCCAGAGGTCTCTGCCTTTCCTGTGACCTTCCCTGCCAGCCTCCCACACACCCAACCAACACAGCTGGCCAACCTGCAGCCCCAGCTGGCCCTGACCCTGCTCCTCCTGCAGAGTCTATGCGGCGCAGTGTGTCTGAAGCAGCGCTGGACCAGCCTGAGGACCCACAGGGCACGGACTCCCTCAAGAACCTGACACTGCATGACCTGAGTCTCAAGAGCAGCTCCGAGACATCAGGCACCTCTGAGCTGTCCCTGTCAGCGGAGACACTTGGTCCCTCCAAGTCCTCAGACGTCAACTTCTTACTCCAGCGTGAGGATACATCAGAGGAGGCTGAGGCCCAAGATGAGCTGAGCCCCGAGGACAGAGGCCGGGGAATTCGTGCCACTTTCCCTAAGGGCTTCCGCCCGAGGCGCTCCAGCCAAGGCCCCACTCAGATGCCCATCTACTCATCGCCCATCGCCAAGAACCCCTTCATGTCACCACTGCTGGCACCTGAGAGCATGCTGCAGACCCTACCGCCTGTACACATCGTGGTGAGTGCCAGACAGGGAGCAGCGAGGAGGGTGGGTGGGATGAGAGCTCCCGGGAGGGGGGAGGTCAGTAGCCTGGCCCCAAGGGACAGCTATGCCCCCAGGAAGGAACGCCTGGCAATGGAAGAATGGAAGGGAGTCAGGGCTGCAGTTTTCTTTTGCAATCTGGCTAGGCACCATGGGACCGTGGGGCAGCCACAGGGCTTGGAGCGTCAGGGGAAGAAGGGAACAGTGGGTCCTGGGGGAAGGAGAAGCCGGCAGAGGTCAGGGAGCCCAGTTAAACTCATTCTGCAACTCCCCACCATCCCTCCACCTCTCCCTCCTCTGGCCTCCCATGTCTCCCTCCTCTGTCTGTCCCCTTGTCCACGTGTTTCACACACACACACACCCTTGGTTCACGCACGCGTCCCTGTCCCTCACCCCCACTGTCCCGCAGGCATGTGCGCTGGACCCCATGCTAGACGACTCCGTCATGTTCGCGCGGCGGCTGCGCAGCCTGGGCAAGCCTGTGACGCTGCGCGTGGTGGAGGACCTGCCGCACGGCTTCCTGAGCCTGGCGGCGCTGTGCCGGGAGACGCGGCAGGCCGCCGCGCTGTGTGTGGAGCGTATCCGCCTGGTCCTCACTCCGCCCGGCACCACCGCGCCCGCCGCACCGGTCTGAGCCTCGGACCAGCCAGGCCGCGCGGTACAGGGGGGCGGGGAGTGGGGGGCGGCACTAAAGGCCTCTTGTTCCCACCTGCCTCGGCAGCCTCTTCGTGAATACTGTACTGCATCTGCCCCGGAGGAGGGCCGCGGGACGGGGTGGGCTGTGCCTTAAGTCGGACGGTGCGGGAGGCCCGGGAGTGAAACCCTGGCCTGGAGGAAGGGGCGCACGCAGACCAGTCACAGCTGGACCTGTACTCCACCACTGCCTTCCACTGCGGCTGCAACCGGTGCTGGGGCGGGGCCTGGCCCTACCTGCGGGTGGGTTTGTTTTTGTTTGTAAATAAAAGTACTTAATTAGTTTGGCCTCTTGCAAATGGGGGCGGGGTTGTCCATCAGGGGGCAGCATCGGACTCAGCTGCTGGGAATGAGAAACCTAGGACTGGAGAGTTGAAGCGTGAGGGACCAACTTCTGGATTCTGAAGGAGGAGGGCCTGTGGGCCTGGATTCTCGGGTGCAGAGAGATCCACCGCCCCACAGATTTGATCCAGGTAGAGCGCCGGAGGACTCTGGGTTCTTAGCTACTTCCCTTTCTCAACCCCACCCCAGCGCCCACCAGGAGAAGGAAACCCACACCCCAGAGAGAAGTGGAACAAAGCTAACAAGACACCAGACACAAAATGGTCACCCAAAATTCTGGAGGCCCCAGCTCTGCCCAGCTGTGACAGTCACTCAGTCCCTCAGCCAAGACTCTGTGACCTCACCCTTTTGAAGGCTCTGGGTTTGGAGCAGGGATGGTTTCAATCCACAGCCTACACTCAAGGGACTCAGGGAGGATGGAGGATGGAGAATGGATGCAAACACAGGCTGTCACAGCCCCCATCAAGGACTCCACCTGTAGTAGTCAGGGAGGGCTTCACAGAGGAGGTGATCCATGATTGGCCTTAAAGGATGAACACAAGTTTGTTTGTTTTTAATACATTTTTATTGATTTCAGAGAGGAAGGGATAGAGATAGATAGAAATACCAATGATGAGAGAGAATCATTGATCAGCTGCCTCCTGCACGCCCCCTTCTGGGGATCGAGCCCACAACCAGGCATGTGCCCTTACTGGAATCAAACCTGGGACCCTTCAGTCCTCAGGCCAATGCTCTATTCTCTGAGCCAAACCAGCTAGGGCAGTACAAGTTTGCTAAGCAGATGAAACATGCAAGGTTGTCAGAGCCAGTGGACAGTGATCAAGGCCTCTGCCCGACAGAAGGTCTGGTGCAAAGTGGGGAGTGGCCTGAGGGACATGGCATGGTCAACAGGAGCAATCCTGAAGGACCTGGCGTGCAATTTGGACTATAACCGGAGGGCAGTGAGAGGCTTTGAGCAGGGGAGGACGGGATCAGCTTGTGGCACTGAAAAGGGCAAGAATGGAGCCCTGGAGGCAAAGGAGGATGGAGCCAGGGAAGACAAGACCTGAGAAGGGGCAGAGGGTATGGAGGGTAGGGCGTGGGAGTAGGGGTGGAGCAGATACCAGAGCCAGCCGTAACTTAGGTTGGATGAACAAAACTTAAGTGTAGAACAGAGGTGACAGGAGAATAAGGGGACTACAATGAAACTCAGGTCTGGCCAGAGCAGTAGGTGGACAGTTAGGCTGTCTCTACTGGGAGGAGGCTCATGTGTGTGAGGGGGTTGGAGGGAGTGGAGGGCTATTTTGCACACAGAAAGATCAAAAAGGTCTTAATGAGCCAAGCCAGTAGCTCAGTGATTGAGCATCAACCCATGAACCAGGAGGTCATGGTTCAATTCCCTGTCAGGGCACAGGCCCAGGTTTTGGGCTCCATGCCCAGTGGGCGTGGGGGCATGCAGGAAGCAGCCAATCAATGATTCTCATCATTGATGTTTCTATCTTTTCCTCTCCCTTCCTCTCTGAAGTCAATAAAAATAAATAATTAATTAAAATGTTGGGTTTTTTAAAAAGAGAAGATAAGGAATAAAAGTGGGGAATGTCTTTTTTAAAAAGTCTTAATGAGACTATCCAGAGGGACATGCAGGAGAGTAGGCTGGCTACTCACTTCTGACTGAAGCTGAGGGACTGGAACCTTTCTAGGAAGAAGGGGCAGGTGGGATGAGCAGAGGCTGGAACAGACAGACAGAGCCCTGAGGACCATGGCCCTCAGTAAAGGGCAGCCTGGGGGGCTCTAAGTAGCTGGAGAGGGAAGAAGCTGACCAGGAAAGAAGAGGATATAGAGCAAAGGGGATGTTGGGGGGGTGTCTATGTCAGATGAGAACCCAAATGTTACCCTCAGGCCTCAGCAATGAGTGGTGGTCCTTGATGACCTTGTACAGAGCTGCTGCAGGGCCATGGGAGGTGGGCAGCCAGATGTGGAGGGGTGAGGATGGAGTAGAAGGTAAGATATTGAGCTGGTGGGTACAAGTCTTTAGCTATAAAAGGGATGAAAGCTAATTCATGGTGTGTGTGTGTGTGTGTTTAGAGGTGATGGAATATGTTTTCATGCTGCCAGGGAAGGGAGGGAGGGAGGGAGGGAAGATGCAGAAACACAAGAAAGCAGTTTCCTGAAGAGATGGGGAGAGGAGGACCCTCACATCACAGAGACCCTCATTCATCCAATGATTTCTGATTCAGGGGGAGGGAGCCATAGCCCAGAACTCTCCCTGCAGATCCAGACCCATTGGCCTGAGCCACAGATCCTCTTGTCCAGCTCATTGGACCCCTTGCTCATCTCTGCCCAGTCATCACCAACAACCTGCTCTTCTTTCCTGTCCCTATCTCATCCTCCCCCAGCCCACCAGGCCAGAGGACTGTTCTTGTCCTGGACAACCCCTCCACCCCATAGCCCATCAAGCCTCATCTATTCTTTCTGCCTCCTGCCTTTTCCCTTCAGCCTCTGGCCTAATCCAGGCTCCCTCCTCTCCCACCTGAGTCTCTCCACAATCCACCTTCTGGGCTACTGGCTTCCAGTCTTATTCCTCCAGTTCTGGCTCTAGCTCTGACTCAGTCCTCCCATGCTCTAAACCCTCCATGGCATCCTAATACCTGCTCCTGGCCCCCCAAACAAAGTCCAAGCTCCTCAGCATGGCCTCTGTCCACCTCTTCATCCTCTTCAGTCTGACTGGCCTTCTGCCTGGGCACCTACAGACAATAATGCTATATATATTGTATATTATTGATTTCAGAGAGGAAGGGAGAGGGAGAGAGAAACATCACTGATGAGAGAGAATCATTGATCAACTGCCTCCTGCACACCATCTACTGGGGTTTGAGCCTGCAACCCGAGCATGTACCCTGACCCAGAATCCAACCATGACCTCCTGGTTCATAGGTCCACGCTGAACCAATGAGCTACCGGCTGGGCCAGGCAGTAATACTCTTGCATGCCTCCCTGTCTTTGCTCATGCTGAGATGCCCTCTCCACAGGCTGTCCTGCACCCTTGCTTGGCACCTCCTGCTCCTCCAAGATCCAGCTGCAATGGCCCCTCTGGAAACCCTTTCCTGACTCACCAAACCCCAAAAGACCCTTACCTCTGCACATTCCTGCACATCACTGTGTGCGTCTGTTCTGCCATCTGACCCAGGCCTGACTCATCTTGGTCACCACCACTGCCCAGCATGAAGACTGGCACACTGGAAGCCTCCGGAAATATTTAAGTAATGGGTGGGTGAAAGTGTGAATGGGTGGTGTGGGGGTTATATGAGGAAATCAGTGAGAGAATCAATGAAGGTAGGAAGGACTGAACGGACCGGTGGGCAGGGCAGAGAGGTGCAGACAAGAAGAATCAGATTTAGGGTGGGAGAAATGGAATGGACGGAAGAATCTGAGATTCAGTTTCTCTAAGAAAGCAAAATGGGCGGGGCCCACCTAAACTCCACTTCAAGCCTCACCACGCCCACTGCTTCCCCCCGAGCTAAGTCCAGAATCCCAACACGGGCACCCGGCCGGACCCACAGAGCCTGCCCTCTCCACCGGCTCCAGTTCCCGCGGACTCCTCCAGTTCCCGCGGACTCCCCCCCTCCCCCCGGTGCCCCGCCGATTGGCAGACTGGCAGGACGCGCGGGGCCCCGCCCACTAAGGAACGCGCTCTGAGTGGCCCAGGCTAGTAGGAGACGAGTGTCTATCGGCTGGATAATAGTGAATGATGTCACGAGTAGCTTATCACAGCTGGGCTCCGTGTCAGACCCGCCTCTGGCAAAACAACCCGGGAGGTAGTTGAGAGCGTGTTTGACTGCAGAAGAGAGAAGTCAGTGGGGTTTCTGGCTGCAGGAACCTCGACTGTTCGCTGGCATGACCCTGGGTCCTAAGGAAGGATGGAGACTGAGAGCCCTCCCTCGCCCCCCGCCCCTCCGTGAGGAGGCTGGGGGCCAGAGGGAGGAGGGGATTGCGGAGGAGTAACTAGGGGCCTAGACTTCTGGGTCTGAGAGCCTGAACGCCTGGATTTTGAGGGAGGAGGGAACTGGGAACCTGAAAGGTTGGGGTCTAGGGATGGGGACTCCTTGGTCCCAAGAGTCACTGGCCTGCCCACGGATGACAGATTCGAAGTTCAGTATTTTATGTGGCTCCTTATGGGATTGGAGCCAGGCTTGTCCCCAGGCAAGTGTTCTGGGTTGTGAGGTGGGGCTTGACTAGAGATGATGTAGAGGCTTAGGAGAAGCTCTGACCTCAATATGCCCTTTCCTCGTCCCTAAAAGGGAAGTCAGGGGCAGGGTGCTGTCTGCGAAAGGAACCCACAGAGTGGGAGGAGACTTGAAACTCCCGTGGAGACGAAAAGAAAAGCATAGATAGGAATGGAGAGATTAAGATTTTGAAATTAATGATAGAGTTCTTGAATGGAGTTTACTGTGGCCCAGGTTCTGTGCTAAGCATTTTACACAATTATCTCATATCTTCCTCATAACAGATCTAAGAGATTGGATTATTATTATAATCCCCATTTTACAAGTGAGGAAATTGACACCCAGGGAGAGAGAATCAAGATGTAAAGAGACAGGAGAGACACAAAACACAGATGGTGATAAACAGATAAACACAGACCCAGAGAGGGAAGAAAAGATAAATAAGGGGGGGCAGGGGAGAAGAGCTGAGAGCCAGGACACTGCCGGGGCCTTGAGGGGACAAGACTCCTGGGTCCTGGAGGAGGAAAGACCAAGATGGGGACTCTGGGTATTTCCTACCCTGACTCCCACACACCATGCCGTCCAGCCCTTCTTGCTCTGGGCATTTGGCCTGGTTGGGGTCAAAAATAGTGATTACAGGGAGCAGCTGTGTCATTATCCTATTAGGAGATGATAAGAAAATGATTCATGGGGGTGCCCTGGGCCTGGGAGGAGTCTTTCCCTCACAGCCTCTTTGATCTGGACAGATCAGACCTCAGAGAGGACTGGGGAGGGGCAGGGCCCTCTCTGTCCCTCTCCATCGCTGAGTCTCCATCACTCAGAACTATTGCCAAGTCCCTCGTGGAGACAGATGAGGCACCCGGAGCAGCAACAACTTTGCTGGTGGGTCTTCACTCTCTGGGTCTCTCTACTTTCCCCCAGACCTTGACCCAGTGCCCACCAGAGTCCTGGCTCAGCCAGGGGCTCAGCCAGTGCTAATGGAGTGGATGGACAACATCCACATCGCTCTCTGCATCTCTTCTTCTGGCCCCAGCCTGCCATCTCTCGTGTCCCCAACATGTTTCACTCTTCAGCCGCCCCCTGGTCTCCCTCACCTCCTCCCACCTTCCCTTTCACCGGGTGTTTCTCGCAAAGCCATTGGACCCCCCAACCCACTGGGGAGAAACTGAGGCTCACGTTGGAAGGTGCCGACCTCGCAGGGCCCCAGATAAGACACAGTACTAGCACCTCAGAGTCAGAAATGCAAGAGCACACAGAACACGTGCCCTTACGACACGTGCCTGAGGTAATCTTGCATTTACACCCACACAATCAGAGATTCACACACACAGCACATGCAATCGCCTACCAACATAAACATAGGCACAAAATCACAGAATCCCTGCAGACAACACATCCAGAAATAGCCTATCCCACATGCAACACAGATACCCACACCATGCAGTTACATGCCGGTCACTGATGGACATCCAGCCAGTTCCTACGCGGACTGTGAACTAAGACTTGGTTTCATTTACTGTTGTATCCCCAGCAACTCGAACAGATCATCATCATCATCATCATCATCATCATCATCATCAGTACCGTGAACAAAAAGTATTTCCTATGTGCCAGGCACAAGTCTAGGCACTTTACATGAATTAACTCATTTAATCCTCTCAAAAACTCTACTTGTGACAACCCATTTTGCAGATGGAAATTGGAGGTCCAGGACAGGTTATTTATTTGCTCAACATTTCACAACCAGTAAGAGGCCATCAGGATTTAAACTCAGGTTTTTAGTCCATTGCGCAAGGCTACCACTCAATAAATAATGCCAGCCTTAATCCAGTCAGAATTACAGAACCTTGACAGCTGAGACCACACCCAAACTCAGGCGCACAGTGGGTAGTAGAATCAGAGAAGCCAATAGAAACACACAAATAGGAAAAACCCCTTCACACCCCAGAACACAGGGACACACACAAAGTGACACATACAGAGACAATCCCCACAGACACAGCACCCACAGAGGCACACACCACACCAAAACCTAGACACAGGGACCCACCCAGAGCTCCCTGTTCCTGGGCTGGCCCTCGAGGAAGCAGCAGGCTTAGGATGGAAAGGGGGCTGGCCACCTCACTTGCCCGCTCAGCCTGACTGGTTCCACCAGGCCATGGATGGCACCACCCGCCTTATGAAACCCTTGTTGGGCAACTGGACCCAGACCTGGCCTGGACGCCTAGATTCTGGGGAGAAGGGGCTGGGTGTCCCATTCATGGATTCTAGGGCGGAGCGGAGGGGGATTGGGACCTGGACTCTTGGGGCCTGAGGAGGGAGGGCTGGGGGCCAGAATCCTGGGTTCTGGGAAAAGAGGGGGCCAGGTACTTGGATTCTTCTGTCTTTGAAGGTAGGGCTCCATGTTTAGCAAATAAAAATACAGGATGCACAGTTAAATTTGTAAAAGGCAAAAGATTTATATGGTCTGAAGAGAAACCAGAGTATATATAGGATGACCAGTTAAATTTGAATTCAGATTAACAACAAATTTTTGTTAGTATAAGTATATCACAAATATTGTGTGGGACATGCTTATACTAAAACAGTATTTGCTGCCCTGGCTGGTTTGGCTCAGTGGATAGAGCGTCGGCCTATGGACTGAAGGGTCCCGGGTTCGATTCTGGTCAAGGGCACATGCCCAGGTTGTGTGCTCAATCCCCAGTAGGGGGGGTGCAAGAGGCAGCTGATCAATGATTCTCTCTTATCATTGATGTTTCTATCTCTCCCTCTCCCTTCCTCTCTGAAATCAATAAAAATATATTTAAAAAAATAAAAATAAAAACAATATTTGCTGTTTCTCCGAAATGCAAATTTAACTGGGCATCCTGCACTTTATCAGGCAACCCTATCTGAGGGGGAGGAGAGCAGATGCTAGAGACGCTGCCTGGTCACTCCAGCCCCCAGGCCTCTCCTCTTCCTGCCCCTCCCCCCCCCCCCCCCCCCCCCCCTCCCCCTCCCCCTCCCCCCTAAGCAGGCCACCTCACAACTTCCCCAGTCCCTATTTCCTCATCCACATGAGTTGCTGTATCTAATTGCTGCCCCAGGCGGTGTAAGAGTGGGGAGAGGAAACTGGAGGACAGCTCCGGTTGTCATACTGGAAGCCCCAGGGTCCTCAGAGATGACTGACCCTGAGTCACCTGCACCCCATGGTCTGACGGCTGGGGGAGGGGGAGGCTTGTGGCTGCCTCCACGGAGCAGGCTTGGAGAGGGGGAGATGCTGAGGTAGGAGGCCAAGACTGCAGAAGGGCAAGAGACATGGAGTTTGGTGGAGAGAGACTCAGAGGTGGGGGGACAGAGAACCAGAGAAATCTGGAAACATAGGCAGAGGTGCGAAAAGAAAGAGAAGAGACTCAGAGCTGGAGACAAAGATGCAGGGATGGGGGGACAGGGACACTGAAACAGAAGGAGAGAGAGCTCCACAGACATTCAGATTCCGGCTGAGTGATGGGCACACGCAGGCAAGATGCCGAGCGCTGCCCACAAGTCTGGGGCAAGGACAGCAGCCACCCGTGTGGGGCCGGGGACCAAGGCTTGGGACCTGCTGTGTTGAACCAGGGGGTTGGGGGAAAGCTGCGATCCCCGGGGAACAGGGTGCTCCACCTGCCATCACCCCATGCCCAGTGGGGTGACGACACCACCTTCTCTGCAGGTGACACCCCAATTTTCCAGTGCCTCCTACATTTTTGGGGTGACACCCGTCCTGGGAACCCCACCCGGCTCTAATGCTGCTTCCCTCACTGAGTCACCTCCAACCCCGCCAGGCTTGTTGGAGGGGAGACCATGGTGACTCAGGCATCCAGGCCCCCAGCTTCACCCCCAGGAACCTGCAGGTCTGAGTCCCAGGACCCTGCCCCACTGAGGGAGGCAGCGGCCTAACCCAAGAACCTGGACCCCAGCCCCTCCTCCCCCAGACCCAGGAGTCCAGGCCCCGGTCCTCTGCTCTGTTAGGACCAGGAGGCCTGGGCCACAGCCGCCTCCTTCAGGAACCAGACTTCTCAGTTCCCAGCCTCCTCCCTTCCCAATTTGGAGGTGGGGTGAGGTGTGTTTATTTACTTTGGTTCCAACATGAATTGCAGCCAAAACACACTGCCCCCCCCCCACGTGCCCCAGGACCCTGAATGGGAGGACAATGCCCCCTCTCCCAGGGAAATGGGGACCTCACTAAGGATGATGGGAGAGGCCTCAAAGGGAGCCCTCGCTGCACTCCCTCCGCACTGCAGGCCTTTCTTCTCTCCCCTCTCCCTTCCCTCCGAGTCCAGTGGTTCCCATTGCCTCCCCCTACCTGCCCCTCCACCTTCCCATCTCTCTTCTCTGAATGTGTCTCCCCTCCTTTCATTTCTCCCCAGACCTTTGTGCCTCTCTGTCTAGGCATCTATTTCTCCATCCCTCTCTGTCTTCTCATCTCCCTCCATATATCTAAAACTCTCTCTCTCTGACCTGGACCTCCCTTCTGTCTCTGTGTCCCCCTTCCCTCGCCATCTCTCTGTCTCTCCCTCTCTTATGGTCTCTGTCCTTTGACCCAGCTGTGCCCCTTGCACCTTGGCTCCGCCTTCCCTTCCCAGCACTGGGCCCACTCCCCTTTCTATCCCCACTCCAGCTCCTCATCCCTGGACCCTCCCCCACAATTTCCTGGTCTTCTGAAGTCCTGGAGGAGGGCAAGTGAGGGGAGGGGGAGGGGTGGAGAGGGAGGAGGG